CGCCCCGCACCACGGCCCCCACCACCACGGGCCGCCCCCGCCGCCCGCCGCCTCCAGCACCAAGCCCAAACACAGTGGCATCAGCACCATAGTCTAGGCCCAAAGGCCTCCTCGTGACTCTCGTTCTAAACCCAGCTGCAAAGGCACTTACAGGAAGCAACAAAATCACACCGTCAGTTTTTACCTAGGCCGTTTAATGAGCTTGAAGGCTTGCTGTTACTAAATAAAATAATTCCAGTTAGCCCAGGCCATACTGGTTTTACTTATCTACTGGATAGATGTTCACCACCATCTACTTAGTTCTTATTTCCAGCCTTGCCTTGAAAACGTGCTGCTTGCTGAATCTGAGGAAAGCTACCTTTTACACCAAACCCCTGGACAATTTTACATGCATCATGAAAAGCTAGCCTATGGAAAAAAAACAGGGAAAAAAGTGAGACAGAACCAAGTGTTGCATTCTTGCTCTTTTATTCTCAATGGGCAAAAAAAATAAGTAGACCTGATATGGTTGATGAAAGTACGTAAGTAAACTTTATATAATATAAATATATACATATAAATATATATATATATATACTGTATAGTTAACATTTGTGCTTGGAAAGAATTTTTTTCAGTCCACAAAACTAGCAATATAGACTTTACAAGGAATTCCACTTACTTGATAGGACAGTATAATAGAAGAATAGCATATGAAAGAGTAGACCAAAAACATTAAACATTAGAAACCAACTTCAAACATTTCAATATTTTCACCACAAGTCCTCTGGACTTGTTAAGATTTCTAAGCAATCATTACTAAATGTGCCAAGTAACATAGCATTTAAATGTTGTAATCCAATACTGCTTTGTATAAATCCTTATTTTATTAACATGATGATATCATACGTAATCAGTATTAGAGCTGCTCTGCTATTTCAGGTAAGCAAACTCGTTAAGATGCAGTAATTATTCCGTAGCAATGGAGGGTGCCCACGTACTGGGGCACCTCCAAGCATTGGTCACACAAGTTCTTAGACACTTTAAAGGCTGTGATAACTGTGAATTTACATGATCCACATTTCTTTTGTAAGCATATGGATTGAACGAGCACACGGGAAAAGTTCTGCCAGGTGCATGTAAACACTGCAAAAACATTCATCTCAAACATGAAAATGGCAAACCTCCATCCTCTCAGCTACTTTGCTTCCTGTTTACCATAATTGCTCATTTTTACCCCCAGCGAAGCTGAATTCTAGTCCAGAGTGTTTCCAGTGGAAGTGCTCTAAAACTTGAAGGTTTGTTTTAGAATCTAGTATAGGGTTTTTATATATATATATTTTAAAAAAATTAAAATCTGTAATTCCATGTAGCCATGTGCTAGCAACAAAGTGGCTTTACCATTTTTACTCATCACATTTGTTAGTTTGAAGCACCCAGCACTCAGCAGGCTGAGTTTATGCTCAAACCCTCACTTCCATAGTCCAGTTAGTTGCAAGACATCACATAAAAATAGGCTGTGCTGTTGTTGCTTATGTGTTGTAACCAAACAATTTGCAAATTTCTCTACAATTTGTATCCTAAAATCCTGTACAAAGTTATCCATGGCGCCTACTTTGTAGTTTCAGCACTTTGAGCCACTGCAAGGACTTAACACCTAAACAATAGAGACAGAGGAATCACAACTGCAAAACTGTACCAGCCTAAAAGCAAACCTTGAAGAAGATGAGCAAAATGTTCCAGTGAGAGATGGGTAAAAGTAATCACAGCTCCAGCCAGTCGGGTTTCTGTGTAACAGAAAACAAACTAATAAAAGTGTCCCAAATCAGGAGGACATGGGAGCAACAGAGTGACTTGTCCTGTTGGCTTGTTCATGGCATCTCTAGTGTGGGGAGGATGGGAGAGGTTCAGTCATTTTTTCCCTTTCACACCATGGATACCACAATACCAGCAAAACTGCAAACTGAGCACTTTGTTCACCTCCACAGAGAGCAAATACAGCAATCTAGAGTTTAGCCTTTTGTTTCCAGCAGTCCACGTTTGTTTCACACATGTGCAATATGTTTTCCCCTTCCGCTCCTTCTCCTCAGAATGATCTCCATGAAAAGAAAACAAGTGATTATTATTTTTCTGTATCACTCATTCTATTCTAAATTCTGCGGCTTACCTTAAGAGGGCTCACCGGGGTCCCCTGAGGCTCTGTTCCTTGCAGTTTAACAAATGTATACTGTTCTTATAAGGGAAAGTAGAACTGTCTGCATGTCATCTAATGTTATTAGTGTGAGGCTACACTCTACATATTGTATAATTGCAAAATATATCAGTGTTACTGTTGATATTAGTTGAAGTAAAGTGATAACATATTTCAATATGTAGACTTTTCTTCATACATCTGTACCAATAGTAGAGTCTAACTGTAATTTATAAGTTGTTCCAGAAAAGATAAAAAACCATTTAGGTGCAAACATCTCTGAAAAACAGTATTTTTTAACTAAAACAGAGGTAAGAAAGCTCCTCTTCACTGGGTGTCGGAGTCTGTGTTTGTTTCAGATGCAGAGGCATAATGGAAGTAAAATTCAGTATATGGAATAAAGGCAAAATATGCAGTAGCAGTGGAGAGGAAAATCTGACTCGCTGTGTTGATTAACACTCAAGATGTCAAATCTCCCAGATCCACATTCGCTTTATGTTTAAAAATCTCTTTCGTTCATTTAAATTATAGTTACATATAAATATTCTGTGCTTAAACAGTGAGCTACAGTTTAATGCCTGCCCACTGATTTTCCATGTGCAATCAATGTACTTGTGAACCAAAGTGTTGAGGAGATGTCACAAACGTGCATGCACAGAAACATTTCCACATGGTTCCATGGACACTGGGGAGGAGGCTGTGCCTGCCCTGGGCGTGCAGGGAGTGTGAAATCACAGATTTGGAGGCTGGTTAGAAACCAAAACTGGTCACATGAGAGCACAGGATTTGGACGCTGTTCTTTCAAGCCAAGGAGGAGAAACAGTGGACTTGACTCTTTTGTTTCCTAGTTTTGTTCTCTTTTGTTTCTTAGACTGTGTGTTTCTGTGTACTCCAACCAACCAAATGTGTCAGCACAAGTCTCCAGACCTTTGCTGCTTGTTTAAGGTTGTAGTAAAACCTCTCTGACTCCATCCTTAGAGCAGTGTGTGTCATGCCTAGAATAGGAGAATTCCAGCACTTAACATTGTGTGGGGTTAAGAAAATGAACTAAAATTAATACTTCAGCCTGCAGACAGGAGTAGTATGGAGAGGGTTTTTTCTCAGATGCCATTGCTAATTACTAACTGGTACAAAACTGCATAGAGTGGCCATGGTTCTCTCTTCCTCTAAACAATGTGGCAAAGCAGTAATGCTGATTTGAACAAATGGAAATGTAAACAATGAAGATGTGGCAACAACAACAAAAATCTTTTCTGGGACAACAATCAAGTATATATTTGGGGGTTTTATTTTTTTAAGTTAAGAATGAAATGTAAAACAATGTAAAAAACAAAAAATCAAAGTTCATCCTAATATAATGTGCGTCTTGTATTGCTAAAAAAAAGTCTAACATAAAGTGTAGAATGATTTTCCCATCATGTACTGCATGCAGCAGAAGCCTCTTGTTTCTTGATAAAATGAGCTGAAAGACAGTCAGCAGATATTTAAACACTGAATCTCTAGATGTTGACTTGCTGTTCCATATGAAGCTGTGTGTTTTCTGCAGTTAAGCATGCATTTTGCTGTTCCCTTGTAAAATACCATCGCACTTCTTGCCTGCAAAATGGATTCTCGTGTATATATTTCAAAGAAAAGTGGAACCAATAACAAGATTAAATTTGGAAAAGAGAAAAGCGGGTGATGAAAATGGGACCAGTAGGGGGAATAGAGAATTCTCTAAATTGTACATAGTGTGTAAATTAGCATTACTATAAGTCTGCAGTCACTTTGAGGTTGCCTTCTCCTGCTAGAAACTTAAATCAGCTTTGAGTTGTATTAAACTGTTAGAATTAGATCTTGAATGCAGACTGTTAAAGACTTCAAAAATCAACATGCTTACAAGAAGCTTCTGTTCTGGGGAGGCTCAAGACCCCTTTTGTAACTCTGGGGAAGAAAGGAGTGCTTTCATTTTAATATGCATTCTGTTTGTAAGTAGTAACAGACCCTATTGATGTAAAACTATAACTGTGATCATGTGAAGAAATCAAATAAATCATTTAAAACTCTTTCTTTCTCATTTCATGCAATCCAAGAGCTTTAACTCTTCATATTTGAAATGAAGGCAAAATGAAATTAATTCCTTCCAGTGATATCCTGACCTCTCTGAGGCAGTGGGATTTCTGCCTTCAGAGGGGCCTGGAACTGAAGATCAGATGGAGGAGGTGGTGAGTGGAGTCTGTGACCCCTTCTCACTGGGATGGGTGTGTGCTGCTGCAGTAAATTGAGTTCTAGAGTCACTAAAGAGCAATGAATCCAACAGCCAGATGTGCAGACGGGAGACAGTGACTCCAGCAGCCAGGTGTGCAGACAGACAGTGACTCCAGCAGCCAGGTGTGCAGCCAGACAGGCAGACAGTGACTCCAGCAGCCAGATGTGCAGACAGGAGACAGTGACTCCAGCAGCCAGGTGTACAGACAGACAGTGACTCCAGCAGCCAGGTGTGTAGATAGACAGTGACTCCAGCAGCCAGGTGTGTAGATAGACAGTGACTCCAGCAGCCAGGTGTGTAGATAGACAGTGACTCCAGCAGCCAGATGTGCAGACAGGCAGACAGCGACTCCAGCAGCCAGGTGTGCAGACAGGGAGACAGTGACTCCAGCAGCCAGATGTGCAGATAGGAGACAGTGACTCCAACAGCCAGATGTGCAGACAGGGAGGCACTGCAGAGGCCCTGGTGGGCAATGCCCAAACCCGTGGAGCCCTGGACGTTGCTGACAGCTTTGAGACCTTCTGGCCATGGGGCTGTGTGTCCAGCTGACCCCAGGTGGCCTCAGGAGCTCCTGTCCAGCACTTGTGGCCTGCCTGGGGAGGGCCCCGTTTGTCCTTGCCAGGGCCAAGTCCTGGGCTGCTCATGAGGAGCGGGCAGCGCCTCATGGCCACGGGCAGGGACCTGCGGAGCCCTTGGCCCGGCACAGAGTAAGTACTGCCCAGTTACTCCTTGTCCTGTTTGTTGTGTGTCTCAGTTTCCAGCCCTGAAGGATCCTTGGCCATATGTGGCCTTCCCAGTGTTTGAATTACATCCTGCAGTTACAGTTTGACAACCACTTGTGGGATATTCCATTGTGCCTTGACCTTGGTGCATTTCCAGCCTTTCCAGGGGATCAGGGGATTGTAGTGTATTGTGTAAAGCCTGGCCAAGCTAATGTTCAGCTGTCAATTAAACTAAATACTGTGTTTGCTTCTGTTTTGTATTAATTCTAGGAGATTCTTGAATTATTTTGTGGGAATAGTCAACTGTGACCTCTTGCTGCAGGGCTGTAATTTCAGGATGTGCATATTCAACAATTTTTTTTTTTTTGATAGGTAAGTACACACTTAGCATCATCCTCTGTGCCACCTTCTGACCTGTGGGACCCCTTTGAAGGTGACCAGTGCCTCTGTGCCATAGAAACATCCTCTAGTGGAAATAGAAGAATTTGCAGAGCTGTTCTTCACTGATACTTCTATTTCTGGTTTAGAAATTAGGATTTGTAGAATTTTAGTACATTTTGAGAAGACAAGAGGTCTGCACGTGGCAGTACACACAGATTTCAGGAATGAGTTATCATGAAATAAACAACTTCTCAAGCTTCTCTAGATAGGAACTTTTTAACAACAGGTTCTTTTCCAAGTATTTTTTTTCATTTTTTTGGGTTGAAATAAAGAAATGCAAGATTAAAAGGACAGAAGAACAAGATCAAGAACTTCAGATGTTTTATTTGTATCTTTCTTCAGATTTTTGTTGACTTGGCAATCAATGAATTCTATTTAACTTTGTTCTTTCCAGTTGGCCTTTGTTCTTTTCCAGTTGGTTGATTTTCATTCAGAGTTTCATAAAAAAGGTATGGCATTTTAGCATATGTTTATTTTATTTTAATAGTTGTGAAGTGTTTTATTCATCTCCACTCTGTGTTACAGTTACATTAAATATATCTTTTCCAAAGGAATATTTCTGGATTTTTACCCTACTTGGTGATTTTTGCTGCTGTATTTTGTTGACATAAAATTCCTGGAAGGGAACATAGCCTAACCAATCTAATAGAAATATCTAAACCATACAAATATTTAATTTTAGGTGCACTTTTTAAATAGGCCTTCTTTCTGTTTCCTATTATTTCAAGAATTAAAGCCATTCCTGTATTAATTCAGCAAAACTAAATCAACTGCAGGATGAGGCTGGTCATGAAAGTTAGGAAAATCTTAAATTAATATTTCTGCTGGAAGTACTTCCTCAGCTAAGCAAGACTTGAATGAAAGTTGTGTGGGTGATGCTAACTTGAAGCCATCACTTTTTTCAAATCTTTAAATTTATCATTTTTGCCACATGAATAAATGCACATTTTTAGGGATAAAATGAAAAAAAAAAAAAGCCTTTATTTAGAATTTTTGCAATAACTGAGATGTGAAATAGCAGCATGGTTCATGAGATGCAGCAGCTGAAAGCAGCCACAGGAGTGGGCAATCCATTAGCTCTGCTGGGAAATTACACTACTGCAGCTTTCATTTCTTTTTCATACTTGGACACAGTGCTTTAGACAGGTCTGTGTAGTGAGCAAAGCAAAAATGATCTGTCTTTAACAAGATGAGCAGGGGGAATTCATTCCAAGGCAAATGAAATATTAGGAGTGCATGGTGGAAATGTCTTTTCTCTGCAGTTTTTCAGTTCTGCCACAACATAATGCCTGGTTTCTGATGAGGAAATGGGCCCTGGGTGTGTGTACAGGGAAGTGAGAAAAGCAGGGACTGTGCAGGAGTTCTGTGACTCAGCAGTGGGATCAGAGTGAACCAGGGCTGGAAATTAATTCATTTAACCATTGCCAGTCTGGTTTTGTAGTGTTTTTTTATAGGAGCAGAGCTCAGCTGTGTGGGGGACACTGCAGGGAGGTGCCCACCCCTGTTAGCATCTTCCCCTTCCACTAGCTCCCCGTGTGCTCTTGGCTGATTATTCCTTCACTTTGCTGGCTAATATTTCTTTACGTCCATCTCCAACAAGAAAGAACATTTTTATTTAATGATTAATCCTGTATATTGTCCTTGCCATCTTTCTGGTAGCCTCATTTATCTGCTTCTGCCTCAGCCCTTACACCAGGCTCCAAAAAATGACTCAGCTGTAATTAAAAAGAACATCCAAAAAAGCCACAACCGAACTCACCAAAAAAAGCCAACCAACGAAACACACCCCTGCAATCACCAGAGTTTGAGATACTTCTGTTGTCCTTCAGCCCCTGAGTTTGGAAGAGCAGCAACATTTTCCAGCCCAGTGACAAATGTGATGAATATTCCAATTCGGACTTTAAGCATCCCAAATGTTTATAGCTCTGAGTTTTCATGGCATTTCAGCAGATTTTACAAATGTCCTTGATTATGTGCTAACTCCTCTGCTATGCCAGTCTTGTAAATTTTCAAAACCATTTGTTCGTGTATTTTGTGCCTAAAGGGGGAGGATCTTTGTTTCTACTCTTCTTCTTTCTGTGCTGTTGCAATATTACATGACCACTCACAAATTTGCAGACTGCCAGCATAGCTTCATGAAAAAAAAAAAAAAAAAACAAACCAAAAAAACCTCTCTATATATTAGTAGTGAACCACAGGGGACATGTCCTGAGCAATTCCTCTGACTGCAGGAATTTGAAATCACTTTGGAAAAAAGCTGATGAAAAAGCACTGGTGTTTTGGGTCATCTGTTTCTCTTCCCAGATCTAATAATTAAATAATTATTTAAATTAATAATATAAGTATTTAATACTATAAATAATATAAATAATATAATTAATTAATATTGTACTCATGATTATTAATGAAATGTTCTTGAGCTCATGGGAGCTCCTTCCTTCTCTCCAACATTACAGTGTGATAGAGCTTATTTTGGCAAAGAGGTTCTTGACCCATCTCCCTTCTGTATTCATTAATAGTGCCAAGATGTGCTTTATCCAGTTACTGCAAGGTCTTTTTATAGCCACAGCCTTGTCCCCTCACTCATCGCTGTCACCTGTGTGTGACACAAAGGCAGCACTCTCCAGGTTGCTCTGCAGCTCCTTGGATGCAATCCCACAGGAACAGCTTCTTTCCTGCACTGAGCTCAGGTTATCTCCCCTCACTGAGCCAGAAACTTGATTTCAATAAATGGTTTGGCCCATTTTCCCTTGCTTGAAAAATTAACTCTTGGCTTTTAAAAAAAATTATAATGTGAAATAAAATGTAAAATACTTCAAAACATGAGGCAATTTAGTGCTTCCTTTTAATCTACCATGGCAGAGCTGATGGACAGTTTCCCTGTAAGTGCCACATGACGTTGTGAGGAATCCCTCTCACTAACAGAATGTATATTTATTTTTCAGGTGGTTTCTTAGATGGCCACAGTCCAGTCAGTGTGGATGGACAACAGACTGGAGAAATTTATTGATGTATTTATGCAGCGACTGCGTTAACACCTGGGTTTCAAACACATCACATCACTTCCACAGCATGTAACCAGGAGCAAAAGTGGAAATACCAGTTCCTGCCCTCACCTTTCCTGGGATTTCATTTGTTAACCAGCTTTATAAAAAAGTACTCCAAGTCAGGAGGTGATGCAATGAGCACATCATCACACGCCTGTGGGAAAGACGATTATCAGTGTCAAGTGCAAAACTTTCATACCATCTGTCAGGTTGAACAGGAGCAAACAGTGATTGCATAAAGAGAGGAGGAATTTTGTGTATTTTTCTGGAAGTGCTGCAAAGCCTGGTGAATGTTTTTGTAAAATAATTTAGTGACATTTTTTCAGTAAAAAAAGAGCTAAATGTTGCCAGGTCAATTTATTATTGAATAACAGTTTTTTAAGCAGCTGCTGGAAAAATATGGAAGAATAAAAAGGTAAACTGAAGCGTAATTTTATTGTAGTCATTTACTGATCTTTACCTCTCTTGCATTAATTCCTTCTCAGGAAGGAATTCTTCCACTTCTTTGTGAAATGGGCTGAAATGGACATCACTGTGGGAGTTGTGGTTGTTCACAAAATGTGAGTTATGAGGAGCTGTAACAGCTGAGGGATTAGCTGGCCCAGGAAGGGAATCTGAAATGATGTGAACACGTGGATGAATATCTCAGTGGCAGAGACAGCAGAGAGGAGCCATAAATAAAAGTAGGGAAAGCAAAAGGCTAGACGTATTGCTGAAGCAGAAGACAAAAATACTGATTTTTATCTTTTTCAGTAGATGGTGCCGCTCTGTGCAAGGCAGTTTGAAGATGTATCAGGTCAGGATGGGGGAGTTCTGCAGAGAGCTGCAGCTGCCAGGAGTGTGATTTCAGTTGTGGTTACACACAGCACTGGAAGGGACAAAATCTGTGGTGTGGCACCACTGGTGCTAGTGCAGGAACAGAGGATTCTCTGTGCCAGTGATGGTCCACCTGCAGTTTTGTGCTGTGGGTGTGATATCACCCCCTGTGACTGGAAAATGCCAGGTGTTTATTTATTTAGGATACTCTCACAATGCCATCCTCATGCTTGCTGAGTGAACACACAGGGTGTGGCCACTGCCTCAGTTCTTGTCAGCTTCCTGATGAGGCATCTTTTCCCTCTGCTTCCCAGCTGCCCGGCCTTGTTTTCACTGTTTGGATCATTTTCTTCAAGCAGTTTTTACCATGCTCTGTTTATCCTTTCTTTCAAGCTACCACATCACCCCTACATCACCAGGATTTGCCTGACTTGTCTCAGGAGAGGGTGGCCTCAGTTTAGCCCTTTCATCACTGATGCTGTCTGGGAGGTGCTGTGGGACTTGCACCTCTCTTGACCCCCCCAGGAAGATAAAAAAACTCTTTTTAAAATAATTTTTTATCTCTCCTGCCCAGAGCTGGGATGTAGCACTGGTGCCACCCAGGTCCCCTCAGAGGGACATCGTGTGGCTCTGCCCCATTAACCCCACGTGTCACAAGGCTGAAGCTTTTCCCCTTCTATTCATACCATCAACCACCTGTGGATACCCTCTGGAAGCACTGGCACCTCATCCTTCACCCCAAAGATTGCGAAGTGCTGCACCTGGCTCAGCGTTCCCCGCCCATTGTTTCCTGGTAGGATTAGACATCACCTCTTGCTTTTCCACCCTTCAGAATGAAAAGAAGCAGGATAATGTCCCTTAACCACAGCTGAGCACATCCTTATTTTTCCTGATGCCTCACTCTCAGCCCTTCTTATTCCCTACTTGCAGTACAGTCAAGAGGCAACCAACATCGCAATTTATTTGGGTTACAAGATTAAACGATTTTCGTTTTGTGAGTCATAAGTAAAGAAGCAAAATAAGTAAGTTCATTAAGCCTGTGTTGTTGCCTTCAGATGAAAAGGCAAGGTGACCTCGTTTCAGGGGACAGCACGGCAGCCTGGCCTCACCCGGGCCACTTGGGCCACAGACATGCACAGACACCAACGTGGTGGATGGTCAAATGGCGCTATTACCTTATCCTGTGAGGTTAAATAGTCAAGGGGGACTTTGCTACATCAAGGGAAGAAGGTAGGGTCTCTAGGATTAGTAAGGAGTGGAAAACTACTGCGTTAGGTGGGGTTACGTGTCTTGGGGGTAATGGATTACATATCACAGGATGAGGGGGAAGGGTCTCTCTTTCCGTCACATCCCGAAATCTTCCATTCGCCTGTCCCTATCTACCACACTGTGTTTACTTGTTCTTTTTGCAAATGCCATTTTGTCACATTCTGCAGTTCCACACAGACCAAAACAGACTGAAGGCAGGTGGACATGGAGATGCCTAAAATGAAAATGCAGCAGCAACCTTTAAATGGCTTATTTCTTGTGAAATAAATAGTTCAAATAAATTTTCTACCTTTGAGTAAATTAAGCTTAGCACGCAGAAAGCCCTTGTGTGCCGGTGAGCAGTCCCAGCCACCTGCAGGTGAGGCAGCAGCTGTGGGGTGGCACAAACCTGACAAACGTGATCTCTCGAACAGAAGGGGAGCAGTGAGTGCTTCTCAACCAGATTTCAGTGAGCATCAGTCATTTAACACGGGTTTGGCACCTGGGTTTTTTAAAAAGACAAAACCTGCTGCCAGAGGGATGGCAGGGAACGCAAGGAGGAAAGGGGATGCTCGGTGCAGGGCAGCAGGTAAGTCTTTGACATTAATGTGTGGAAAGGGCTGCAGGAATGCGGGGCCGCTCAGGGGCCGGCTGGAGCTGCCCACACCATCCTGCTCCAGCTCCTGACACACGGAGCAGGAGGACTTGGGCTGGGATTTAGGAGATTTTGGGGCGATGTCCAAGCGCTCCGTTCGCAGCTCAGCGCGTCCCGCAGCTCCAGGCGGGGACGCAGCGACCCCTGCCTGTGGAGCTGCTCCCGCCTGGCCACGCCGCTGCTCTCGCTTCAGGAAGGCGATCCAAAGGCACCCTGGCTGCACCAAGAGCTGCTTCCCGCTGGGGCCGCGCGGCTCGGCAGGGCTGCCGGGCCGGGCCGGGCCGGGCCGGGCCGGGCCGGGCGGAGGAGCCGCGAGCGGCGCCGCTGCCGCGCCCGCGGTGCCGGCGAGGGAGGCGCCGCCCGGGGGCGCTGCGGGGCCGTGGCGCCGAGCCCGCCGCGGGCCGGGCGGTGCGAGCCCCGGCGGGCGTGCCCGTCCCCGGCCCCGCGAGCCGAGCGCCGCCCGCTGAGGGCCGGGCGCGGGGCGGTGCCTCCGGGGCGGCGAGCGCGGCCATGAGCGCGGCGCTGCGGCTGCTGCGGGCCCTGCGCGCCGCCCGGCCCCGGGCCCGGGCCGGCCCCGCCGCCCGCGGGCTGCGCACGGCCGCGCCGCGCCGCGCCTTCGCCAAGGAGCTGTTCCTGGGCACCCTGCGCAAGGTGGGGCCGGCGGGCAGCGGGGAGGGCGCGGTGGGGCCGGGCTGGCCGGGGGCGTCGCAGCAGCACCGCCAGGGCCTCTCCCCGCTGCTCATCCCGGCCCGGGGACGGTGTGGGCCCGCGGCAGGCCCGGCCTGGGCCGGCTGTCCCGCAGCCCCGGGGGCCAGCCCGGCCCGCTGCCTCCAGAGCTCCCTGCCCTGGCACGGGGGGGACAGGAGGCGTCTCTGTGCGTGCCCTGCCCCTCAGCTGGAGCCGGGCGAGCCGCAGGGACCCTTTGCACACCAACAGGCGGTGTGGCTCCGAGTGCCGCCTGCCCGCCCCGCAGGTGCCCCGGACACCCGCGGGTCGCTGGGCACCGCCCCGGGCGGGCCGCGAAACCTGGAGCGCTTCCTTCTCTGGGTGTGCTTCAAGCATCCAGGCCTCACGTAAATCTCTGCCTACGGTTTTGACAGGAAAGATTGAAATGCGTGTGGTGTCTTGAGATGACAAAGAAGTTAAAATCTGAGACAGAATGCTGTATTAAGCAGTTTGTTATTGTAAGGCTTAGAGTGTGCGTTTACCAGAGATTGCAGGGTGAAGTAAACTGAAAGAAGGAATAACTAAAATGCACTGAAATGAGTTGAACAATAAATTCTCCTGCAACAGAGCTTGTCAGGTAAAGTGTTACAACAGGCAGCACATAGGCTCCACTGTGTTAAAACACTCTTCAGATAAGTCTGGGCGTTTTTTTCTCAAATTTCAACACAGCAGCTTTCTGAAAATCTCTGGCATTTCCCAGTTCCTGAATTTTTGATGCTGATATTATTGCTCAGAGTACCTTGGACAGATTTGTGTGGTCAGAGATAAATTATTCTGTTTAAAAGGACAAAGGCAGTAAAAACCAGAAGTGTGCTTCTCACATAGCCTTCCACTCCTTGTGTTCCTTGCTTGGATTTTTTACCAATTCAAACCTGCCAGGCCATGCTGCTCCCAGTTCATGGCCAGAACACCCTGGGGATGATAAGGAGTGGTGGGGCTCACTCACCTTTGTCCTCGAGGCATTAACAGGTGAAATGTGCTGGGTGTTTGCAGGGGACAGTGTTCATGGGCTGAGCTTTGGAAACATTAGCACAGCTCATTGTTTTTGAGACAAATTAAACTGATTTTTTATCAATCCATAAATAGGGTTACACTGACAAAGCTCAGGGGTGATGAGGGATTTTTGCATCCTTGTAGTTCTTACAAGATCTCTTGATTTCTCCCTCATGTTTCTGTTGTTCAGGTAACACACTCTGGTCTGGTTTTGATGTGTAATAAAGTTGGGTCCTGGGGAGCTCTGTTTCTGTTTCAGAACATTTTCCACAATTCTTAATTTTCACAGTGTTTTAGAGTCTTTGCAAGGCATGTCTCTTGTAGTTTTTATTTCAACTGCATAGTTCATGTATTAAAAATTATTAAATAATTACCCTATTTTAGGAAGAAGTTTTTCCTTACCCAGAAATTACCAATGAAGAACTGGCAGAAATCAACCAGTTTGTGGGACCTGTTGAAAAGTTCTTCAATGAAGAAGGTATATTGTTATGGTTTTATCCATGCAAGTGATTTAATAATTAGAAAATTATTTGGCTGTAGCAGTTGAATACGATTATTATACCTAAAACATCTAATTTAGTTTATGCATTTATTGCTGTCCACTTAGTGATGCTGATTTTGTAGGATGTCCATTTATGGCTTTTTTGGGAAGTATTTGGGTGCTGATCAGAAGAATTAAATCTCCAAAACAGGAAAAAAAACCAAGAATGTAAAAGAATTCTGGGATAAAGATAGGATTTGAAATCAGTTTTAGCTCAGCTGAATTATGCCTCTAACCATTTCATATATTGTGATTTCTTTTTCCTAATTCTAGTTCCTAGAACTTCTTAACTGTCCTACTCTGCTAAAACTGACTGTGACAAAATGCAGCAGAGAGACTCAGAAATTGAGGAGTTACAAAAAATGAAAAGCATTTCTGTTTTTTCAGCATTAGAGTAATAATTCTATTTGGGAAAGGCCTTACTACCCATCTGCATTCCAGAGAGCGTTGCA